TGTGTTAAGTATTATGAAGTCTTTAGGTTTGATACATTTCACTATATTGCCAAATTATGCACCTTCATACATCCTATTGTTATGGGTTAGACCTTCAACTCTTCTGTGGAAGCTTTCTATAAGACTTTGAAGTGTGCTTCCTGTGAATTTTCTTTAATCCATCTCGTTGGCCGTGGAAACCCATTGCATGACTCTCTGTGCTTCATTCTTGAGAGAATCTGAAACTTACAGAAAGCTGGAAACCTCAACCCCACTCTGTGTCAGAGTTGTTGTTTTCAATCACTTCTACTTTGTTTTAATTCCAATAACAGTCAAAGTGGCAAAGTGTAGCAAGAAAGTATTTTTTATGTATATATTTCTTTTTCCAAGGTTTCTTTTTTTTTGTGTATGTGGGCTCTAGTGGCCCTTTTTTCGAAAGCAGGTTGACAGGAAAGAGGGCAAGAAGAGAGGGGGAAGACATGTGGCAAATGTTGCCAGGTCCAGGACTCAAACCCGCGACGGCCGTGTCGAGGGCTATGGTCTCCAAACGTGGGCTGTGCTAAACCCCTACGCCACTACAGCAATCCCTCAAGGAAAAAGAGTCTTAAATGCACAAGAGGCATCAAATTTTGCTGCCAATCTCACATTTTCTGAGCTAATAAGAGCAAACTATTCTTTCCCAAATGTTTACAGAAGCATATTTTAAACTGCAGAACCTTTTGAAGACTTTTTTGTGATCTTGGAACAGACTATTTCACAAACATGGTACACCCCGAACTACAAAGTGGCCCATGCCAAGTCCATCTATCCAGTATGTTGGATTAGTATGCGGAGGCCATGGGGCTACACTGACAGTGAGGCCTCTGAGAGCAGCAGTGCCATGAATTCCTTAGTTTGAGTGTTCATGCACCCTTACTGTCATCACGCCTGAGAGGACAAGTCTGGTCAACGGGAGACAAGATGACACACACACACACACACATGTGCGCGCGACCACGCAGACACGGGCACGCATATATATAAATCTGATTTCTCCACTTTAACCAGTTTACACAGAGTTAACTGGTGGTCCCTGTGGAAAGCGCTTGCTGGTTTTAACCATCTTATCAGCTCACACAACACATTCCCTTCTGAGTTACACAACAGGAGCCAAGCATGCCCATGTACAGCTCACACACACACACACACACACACACACACACACACACACACACACACACACACACACACACACACACACACACACACACACACACCCGTAGACGCACGCACGCACAAATCTGAGGGAATTTTCAATCTCTTCTTCTCTCTTTCGCTCTCCCTCTGCCTGTGGAGAAGATGGCAGGAATCAGGGAGAAGAGCGGGGTTGCTAAGCGACGGGTTGTGGTTGCCATGGTGAATTTAAGTGGAACAGCTGGTCCAATCAGCATAAAGTGTGGGCAGGCGGGTGCGGAGCCAGCGAGGCTCATGCCAACACAGACAGGCAGGACAGAGAGGCTGCTGAGGCATGCAGGATGGAGAGGAGAACTGAGCAGAGGAGAACAAAGTAGGCTAATGGGCAAAAAAAAAGTGATAAAACTGCTCTAAAAATGGATGATAGAAAAAATATAACATAGAAAGTCAAAAACACAGGAGAAAGGCTTGATGGGGGAAAAAAATTGCCTGGTCAAATGGAAAGAGTCAAAGCAGAAGATAAAAAAAAAGAGACGAGAGCAGGACTAAAATAGGTTTTGAGTCTATTTTAAGATGTAGATTTGGAGAGATGGGAGGAAGTCAGAGAGCCATGCACTCAAAGATTATTCTTCCCATAAGACTAACAACAAATGGAGCATCAAATGAAGCTCACAGAATGTACTTTAGGTCTGCTCGAGACGGCAGCAAATGACATCTAATGCAGAAACCAAACTAATCAAAAATAAATAAAGAAGGAAAACATTTGAAGCCACAACAGAGAATGTAAAACGAGAGAAAAAAAACAATGCAGGCACCATTAGAGGCTGCTAATGACAAAGTGGTGATGAGATGCTAATAATGATAATAGGGTGGGAAAATGTGAGGATGTGGGGGATTTCTGATTAATGGAGCATTTGTTAAAAGATTAAAAACATTGTGGCTCTCGGAGGCTGAGAAGTGAGAAGGGTGAAAAGTTTGCTGCGAGCCTAAAGTTTTCAGTGAAGTGCCATCAACCGCCAACATTACAATACCTTATAAAAGACTTAATACCCTTTAAGTTCTTCCCCAAACATCAGTGTATTATACTGAGATTTTGATGCAAAGTTATACACAACCATGAAGTGGAAAGACAGGAGTCACATTATTTGTGCACAGAGTGCAGTCATTTCAAAATGGCAACAGTCTGGCAGAACTTCAAATCGACTGAGGCACGGTGGGTTAATCAGAGAAGCAGCCAAGAGGACCATTGTAACTCTGGGAGAGCTGCAGAGATCCACGACTCAGTTTGGAGGTGACAGCTGCAGTGCAACACTCTACAAATCAGTTTAGTTTTTGTTTTGTTTTTTGTTTGTTTTGTTTTTTTTTGTTTGTTTTTATGGAGAAACAATGGGCAGAAAAGTTGTGTTTCATTGACTTCTAGGACACACAGAAAACATGTGGGTAGAGATCCTCTGGCTCTCACGGGACCGAAACTAAACCTTTTGATTTACATGCAAAATACTGGGTGTGTGGTGGTAAACGCAGCAGATGACCCTGAATGCACCATCGTCAGTGTGAAACAAGGTAGTAGAAGCATTATGCTGTGGGAATGCCTTCCTTCAGCGGGCACAAAGAAATGATGGGAAACTGAATGGAGCTGAGGATTGGGCAATCCTGAAAAAAAATTACATGTTAAAAGAAAACAAATGATCTTTCATACAATCACGGTAAACATAGAAACTTTTTGTGATCATGTGTTAAAATGGCTCTGCAAAGACTTGAAAATGTATGCTCAAAAATTCTCCATCCATTCTGATCCTTCAGAACGGACAGCAAAGAGACACACCCTTAAAGGTTTGCAGCTATAATTTCACCAATACAATGCATTGACTCAACGGAGCCTGGATAGAAATGTATTTGTTGTAAAAATATTGAAAATTATGTATCATTTTCTTTCCCATTATGTCCATTAACACAAAATCCCAATAAAATACAATGAAGTCTGCTATATTGTGACTACAGTGTTTGCAGAAATCCCCATTTTATGTTTCAGCTTTAATTCAAATTATATTATTATATTTGAGAATAAAACAGAAAACCAAGAAATCACATTTACTTGAGTATTCACAGCTATTGCTTAACACTTTGTTGATGCACCCTTGGCAGCAATTCTAGCTTCAAGTATTTTTAAACACGATGCCACCAGCTTAGCTCACCTATCTGTAGCCAGTTTGACACATTGTTCTTTGCAGTACTTCATCCATCTGGTTGGAGGGGAGGCATCTGTGCAGCTATTTTCAGATCTACCCAGAGATGTTCAGATTCAAGTCTGGACTTTAGCTTGGTCGTTCTGAAGCCACTCCTTTGAGATCTTGGCTATGTGCTGAGGTCAAAAATGCTTTGGTTTTTATCCAGGATGTTTTTCCACACTCCTGCATTCATCTTTCCCTCTACCGGTCTGCCATGTCCTGCTGCTGAAAATCATCCCCATAGCATGATGTTCCCAATACCTTGCTTCACTGTAAGGATGGTCTTGGCCTGGCGGTGACCTTTGTCTAACAAGACCAAAAAATTTAGATTGTCCTTCAGGTACCTTTAGCTAAACTTCAGATGGGCTGTCACGTACCTTTTACTAAGGTGTGGCTTTCATCTGGCCACTCTACCATCCAGGCCTGATTGGTGGTTGCCCTTCTGGGAGATTCTTGTCTCTCACAGAGGAATGGTGGAGGTCTGAAAGGTTGAACATCAAGTTCTGACTAGGAAGAATCTCTGTTCCAAACTCCTTTGATTTATGTATGTTGGAGGCCACTGAGCTCATTGGGACCCTCAAGGCACCTAAAGTTTTTTGTAGCTTTCCCCAGATTTGTACCTCAAGGAATTAATCCTGTCTCTAACATTTTTGCGCTCTGACTTGCACCGTCAAATGTGAGACCTTAAACAGACTTTCCAAATCGATTTCAATTCACTCAGTTTACCACAGCTGGATTCCATTTAAGTTGCAGACGCTTCTTAAATATGATTGATGGAAACTGTTCAAGCAAAGGCTATGAACGCTTATATAAATGTGATTTCTTGATTTTCTATTTTTACTAAACTGGCTAAACACTCAAAAACTTTTGTCGTAATGGGGTATTTGTGTGTAGAATTTTAATAAAAATTAATTTAATACAGGTTTAAACAAGGCGTTTACCTCACTAAAATGGGAAAAGTGAAATGCTGCGAATACTTTTCTGATGCATTGCAATTCTAAAAGGGTTTAAGAGGCATCAATACTTTAAATATCTTCAAAGTGAGATATGTATGCATGAAATATATGTGAAACTAAGAAAAACATGCAGCTTGCATCATGCTGCCATTGCTGCTGCTACAGTGTATTTCATGAGAGGTGCATCATATTGATTGCTTTCAGAAATTCTATTACAAGAAAAAAAAAAGGAAAAAAACAAAAACAAGAATTCACTGGACTCCACATAAGCCGAAAGACTCCAATGAGAGTTATATCACCTATCAGTAAGACCTGGCAGGTGTCCCTGGAGTCAGTTATTTCAGATTTTGCTTATCTGGTCAGTGTTCAGGAAAAGGTCCATTTCCAGGTGCTCAGCGGACAGCTCTGCGTCTTGTCTGATACTTTTATCAGTTATTGGTTTCGCCGTTTATCAGGTGGCTGAGATTGAAGCCCGAGCAAATACCCTGACACGTGCATCCGCCCAGGAAAGATCTGAAATGTAAGAGACAGTCTGGAAGGATGTGTGCGTGTGTGTGTGTGTGTAGATCCATTCTGGCACATATTTACAGCAGAGTGAAAACTGTAAAAGTGGCCTTATCACTACTAAGCAACACATAAACAGAAGATGATTCTGAACCAGCTTCTGTCTTTTATTCATCCAAAGGGGGGGTTTGTCTGCCTGGGACACATGCAGGCTGCACTAGTCATGGTATAGCCAGTCGTGGATCCTTCTAAAAACAGAAAAGTAATTTAGTGAAAATCATAATGGGGAATGTAAGTGTATTTCATTATAAGTAAAACTGAATGTAAATGTAAATTAATAATAATAACTTTTTTCGGTCGGTACATGATGAAAAGGCGATTTCATATCCGTCCAGCTCCTGAGATACCCGTTCAGACAAAGACGTCACACCGTCACACCGTCACACCGTCTTCTTGTCACTCACACAAAGAATGCTGGGAGGCATGGTTTCCAGGGCGACCGAAAGGCACCTTTCCTTGACGACAGTTCAGAATGCGGCGATGAAGGACATTAGCTTGCACCTCAGGTGTAGCGATGCTGAAGGTTGGAGTTTGTGCCGCAAACAGAGCTGAGCAGAAGCAAGAGCAAGCGTGATATGTTTAGTTCTTCTTTATGCGAGAAGAACTCAAAATACAACAAAGGAAAAAAATGGCACAAACAACAATAAAATCACAGTTCCTTGATGAACTTTGGAGTTATTTTTTTTTTAGATTTATTGTTATCCTCCAGAGCTCGATGTGATAGCAGACCTATTGGGAGTTAAGCTCACTCTCTTGCTATCTGCTCGCAGTGATAAATGAACGAAGTCGCTTCGCACTTATAGTGTGAATTAAAATTTCACACACACCCTCTCTCTAAAGACCCCCTTGCACACTGTCCTACATATGAAATACCACAGTCCACAATCCCCCCAAGGCATTCAAAATCCTGTTCAAAGAAGCCCTCAATCAGCTAAATACATTTTACATCATGCACAGACATATACAGTTACATATGGTCATACCTTCTCAAAAAAAAAAAATAAAAAACTCACTGGACTTCAGAGAACACAGGCCACGGCGGAAAATGGGAAGACTTTCTGATTTTGTGATGCTCTCAGTGAAGGCCAGAACCGTGAAATTCATGATCAGGAGACTTGGGGTAAAGCCGGGTGCATGGAGCGAGAACACAAGGCCAGAAGACACAGAATCTGAAGAAAACTGCACATAATGATAGGGAAAACAGGAAGGGGAAGAAAATGGGAATTTTTTGCAGGTGTATTTGTTTGTGTTAGGGAGAGTGAGACCAAGATAGAGTGCGCAGAGAATTGAGTGCAGTTAACAGTGTTTCCCCCTCGGCTGAGGCATTAACAAGCCTATAATGGACCCTCTTAAAAAGCCGACCAGGATCTCCTCCAAAACTAACTGATTTAGAGTGGCCAGGGCCCCCATGGGCAGTGGCCAAGTCCTCCCCCACCACCTCCAACACCGCGTTCCCTGCCTCTCGCCTCTGCCGTCCCTCCCCAGCACAGCTACAGCAAGCCCCCGGTGGCAGGCGGCACAGACACACATTGTGTTTGTCTACTGAACCACAAGCAATAGCAGTTTATAACACAATAAAACACCATGAGGAGGCATTAATTGGATATAATAGCCCGGGAATGATTTAGATGATTTAACACCTTTTCTCCGAGTTGAGTGCATAAAAGAGGGGAGAAAATAGGAAGAGAGTAATAAAAGGAAATTAGAGACAGACTTGCACATCTTTTCCAACTTTTGATATCAGGTTACTTCAAGTGCACACACACGCATTTATAAACACAAACAGAAATATAGCAAATTTTGCAGTCAGTCACATGCAAATTGGCATAAATGCAATAAGTCAAATTTATTTAAATACATAAAAACAGCTGTGATGGCTGATTATATTTACAACTGTCACCTAAAGAAAACCACTCATTCAATCAACTGGACATGAAATAACTCTATGATTATAACGTGTTAATTTCAGAAACTTTGAGTTCATATAGGTAAGATGGGAAAGGAGATCTAGTAGGAAAAAGCAAAAACAGACATGACCACTTTACAGTTATTCTGCAATAAATGTAAGAATAATACAAGATTCTTGCTGCAATTTACACCTAAGACCAGTTTGCCAAACCTCTTGGCATTATTTCTACTCACCTTATCTCTTTCTTGCCCTCTCTTCCTCACATCTCAGGCTTTTCAGAGCAGTAAAGGGAGCGACGGGTGGGGTAGGGTGTGAGACCTCGCACATATGTACATAATTGGCACTTTACTGTCATATCAAATTCATATCAGCGCAGGGTCTCGGGTTGGGAAGAACAATGAGGGCCAGACAAAAGCGCGACTCCATGCTCTGAGAGTCGCCCTGATAACCGAGGTGTAGGCCGGTCAATAAAACCAATCATCTCTAATCTTCTTATGGGGGACGAAACTGTTCTCTCTCCCAGATACTCCACACTGCTGCAGTGAAACACACTTTCCTCTACAGCTTTGCATCAACAAGGACCAGAAAGAACGGCTGAACTATAACCCCACGACTGCAACAACAGTCTACAGCTTTATCATTTGGTCTGATTTGGGTCACATTTGACTGGCTCGTAGTAGTTTTGATGTGGCTAAATTGGCTCACACCCCAGGGTGGCATGGCTTTAGTAAGTTCAAACATTTTGAGAAAACCCAAAATTGTCACTCAGTTGTGCCCTGCTTGTTTTTCTAGTTTGCATGTGGCTTCAACAAAAAAAAAAAAATGTACAGAGAAAATACTAAAATATATATGCTAAAGGTTGTATCTGTCTGGAGTTTCAAATTTGGCATTGAATTAAGGAGCTGTTTCACTGCTTTAATGAATCTTGAACACATTTGGTCATTTTTAGTTCAAAATCTCAAATGTTCACACTGCTAAGTTATAATAAGAATAATATAAGATTATTCTGAGTCGAGTGCATTGAATGCATGCATATTTAACATGCACATGCTAAATATGTACACACTCATGTTGGTGAGTGCGATTGGGTGAATGTGACGCTAGAGTAAAGCACTTTAAGTCCATTTGCTATTGTGTGCATTCAAAAAAGACTCATGGTAGAAATTCACTGAAAACAATTACTGTATAAGCTTGAATACCTAACATATCGCACTTTATGCAAACATTTTCACCACATAATTTTTTCACATAACATTGTATAATAAGGGAGAGTATATAAATGAACTACATCTGGACTTGCAACTTGAAAATTATTTCTATAAACAGTTTAATATTTGTCTTTTATGAAGTCTTTCTGACTTTTGTCATCTGTTTTTGATAGGTTGGCCTCAGCTTTTGTCTGTACGTTATACAAACGAAGACATCAATGTGCCATAGGGCTATAGATAAAAACAGCTTCTTGACTAACTCTGGCAGCGGCGGTTCTTTATATTAGAAATATGGTTCAACACCCAGGTGGCATTCTGCCATGTGCAATATATTAAAAAGTTTAAAAAAAACAAAAAGGTGTGTCTGTCACAAGCTAAACCATTTTTTGTCTGTTTTTTTTTTTTGTTATTATTATGATTATTATGATTATGATGATGATGATTATTATTCTTATTCTTATTCTTATTCTTATTATTATTATTATTATGAGAAATGAATATGTCCAGGTTATTGTTACTGAAGTTGGTATTTGATTTGAAATGCCTATTTGGTTCTAAATTCAATTCATAACTCGTTTTGTCTAATTTCACGAAATCAAGAATGTTTCTGATCATCTCTTGTTCAAAATATTACATAATTTAAGTCCAACGTGACCTAGTTTAGGTTAGGATTCATGAAATTCTCATTCTACTTGGGAAGAATGAGAAAGAATATTGAAAATGCTGACATTGTCAGCTAAAAAGAAAAAAGAAAAACATATGTGGACAGCTCCAATGTAGACCAATAGTTTTTATACTCACTACAGATTCTTTACATAGCAACTCTGTTTTTCATAACACCCTTCAATGAGGTCAGAGGAGAGTGGAGAGGAGGCGGGTGGATCATCTATGGCAGCATTTGTTCAAGAAACCATCACTGTTTGTTTGACTGTGTCTATTAATGAGATGTGTCTATTAAACAATTTCTTGCACTAATAATTTTTTTTTTAATTGCATTAAAAAATTTCAATTTTAAAATATATTTTCAAATCTCTATCAGCTGTCGGTGTGGCCACCCCGTGTTTGAATACAGCTGTATGCAAAACCTCTCTGATGCTCCCAACGTCCAAACCTCCCAGTCTGCAAAATAAAGTGTGGGGGGATGGGAGAGGTCATGGGGTGATGCTGTATGGTTATTGTAGATGAATCATCCCCTATCAAAGAACTGCATGTGGAATAATTAAGATATATGTACAATGCAGAACGTTTGACACAGCAGGATAGGTAAAAGATTGATTGGTGTATGGAATAAGAAGTAAAAGTTCAAAGCAATAAAAATAAACAGACCTGTATTTTAGCAATTTCATCGTTAATTTCCGAGCGATGCATGTCACTGTTTCCCACTCTTCCTTCTTATCTTTGAAAATCTCCATTTCTGTTTCGCTTCCTTTTGCTCCCTAAAGATCTTTGGCTGAGTTGTGGGTCAATTATGGGGTTAACTGACAGCAATGAGGAGCGGTGTGCTGTGGACATGAGACCAAAGTGAGACTTAGCCTGTGGTTGGGAAAGGCTGCACATAACTTTATTGAACCATTTGCAGCTTTACATGCTGTGCATGTGTTTTAGGTGTGTGCGTGCGTGTATGCGTGTGCAGGTGTGTGTGTGCGTGTGTGTGTGTGTGTCATCCGATAGGCACAAATGAGCATCAGTAAGAGCAATGCTTGGAACAGAGGTTAAGCATGTGCCTTTGTTTTCATGTGAACGCCTGACGCTAAAGATTTGTGTAAAACTCACCTCAGTTCAGGTTTTACTTCTCTCCTCTGTGCCAGACGAGCACACACACAAAAAAGTGTGTGCAGCTATTGTGCTCACACACTGGTATTTGACTTGTTATACAGCATTCAGTAATGAATGTCCACAAAAGTGAGTCCTGGTACATTTCCTCTCTAGCTGCGGCTGGAGCACAAGACCACGACAAATAATATGTATAAAGTGAGAGCAGCTATACATTTTAAAGCCTTTATGAATTTGAAAATAAAATAGTGCAGTATTTTTGTTAATCTGTAAGAGCATCACAAAACCTTTTTGAAGCGTAATAAAATCAAAAATCTTATAGCCTCAGAGATTCCAACATGAATACCCACTGACAGAGCTTCAAGAGAAATTTCAATATTCAACTGCAGTTCAAACATACAATAATTGTACAGAAACAGACAAGATAATGACTCTTTTTCTGCAGGTTGCGTGACAAGCAGATCAATGCAAACAGCTCATGACATTTATCAGATAGAGTCAAGGACCTCTACATCAGTACTGACGCTGACCTCAACCAGTGGAAATCAGCCCGGCTTTATTGATAGGGAGTGCGCAAAGCCAGGGACAAACAGCAATTCATTCTTCTGCCAAAAAAAACAGTGGAATGGATATTTAATGGAATAAGAGAAAAAAAATCATGTTTTTGAGTCATTTCAAGCTAGGATAGCTAGGACAGCATTGGAAACTGTGATATACTTCTAATATCAAATGAACAAATGTTCAAAGATGTTTTGTGTTTGTTTTTATTAAGCAATAACAAACAGGAACCTTCACACTGGACTGTGAGCCTCGAGGGTCACAAAAAAATTTTCTTTTTTTTTTTTCTATTTTTGTGCTTAAATTATATACATATACAATAAGCTATTTTTTCCACAAAAACAATCTTTGAGCAGGTGTTAAATGTAAATTTCAATAAGTCCAGATTATTTTTCTAACGCTTTATCATCATATTCTACATTACATACCAGTATATATTAGTACATATCAGTGTATACTTCATTTTGCACACTTCTAAAGTCATTAACAGGAGCACACCTAAGTACAAGGGTTGGAATAAAAATATATATATATATTTGGTGATAAATTTACTGCAAAACGTGTGACACACACAGGCACGACAGAGGCTGTACAAATTAATAATGATGATTACTCCTGTGAGCAGGTGTAACATGCTCCATCTAAAGCACATGGACGATTCCTGCATGTCCAGACTCACCTCTCTGCGTGTGTCCACTGAGTGTGTGTGTGTGTGTGTGCGTGCGTGTGTGTCCAGAAGCTTGCGGGCTGTTATGCAGACCAGTGTTTGCGGTATATTTCGCCGTATATTACAATTTCTCCTCAGAGTGGCCCCTTGCATTCAGATCAGCGGCCGGCTGCCTGATCGCAGAGGACAGCTTACTAGGCCCCTTGAATTGTTCACCGGGAACAATGGCTTCCTTTGTCAATGTGTTTCTCTTTCTCGTGGTGGACAATGCTGGAGGGTCCTTCTGGCTCTCTACACTTAAGAAATGTTTGCAAAGTTACACCTCTCTCTACGCCTCTCAAAACATGTAGCAGCACCGGT